ATTTGAAAACATTTTTGTCCATCGTGTATGGTTGATACGATTGTAATAACACTTAGAAATGAAATAGAATGAAGATATGTCAAAATATGAAGAAGTAAAAATTCCTGAAATGAGTAAAATGATTTTTGAAATTTATATTTTTCGTTTACTCAATTTTATTGCTTGAAACGAAATTTCCAATTGAAAAAATCTTCATTAAAACAACAGGAAAAAAATTAATAGCAATAATGAAATGAAAATTAGGTATAAAATTAATTATAAATTTACTATAAAAATTAACTATAATTAACCATTCTGAAAACATTTCCAGAAAATATTATAAAATGAATCAATTTTCTGTTGTGCAATAATTTTGTAGTACAAAATAATAATTGAATTAAAAAGATATTGGAAATATTTTCAGTATTCAAATTCGAATAATTAATTTATTTTGATAAATATTAAATATTTGAAGGATTTATGTGGTTATAAGCTAATGAAATGTATTGTCATTCTTTTACTTGTGAAAGGAATAAAAGAAATTAAATTTTACAATCCGATAACCAACCATATTTATAGTTGTATATCAAAGTGATCTAACTGAAAAAAAATTTTAGTATATCAAAGTGATGCAATTCAGGGAATAAAAAAGTTTTTCAAATTCTTTGCAAATGATAGTTAATTTTCGTGGTCAAGCAATTTTGATTTTTTTCATTTGAATTTTTTAATATATCAGAAGGGACGCATTTATTTCATTCACCGATTTAATTTCTCCGGTAAATTTACCTGAGAAATTAAATTGACTTCGTTTTGCTATTTTTTTTTCCCATAAAAATTATTCCTTTGTGAAATCCATTTTCATCTTTTCCTTTTATATACTATGAAAAATTGCTGTTATGCGAAAATTTTCGGCAAATCGGATAATTCTATTCCGTTTCCAGAAATAAATCAACAAATATGTAATTAGTGAACTCAATTTTTGCCATTTTTAACGTATTGAAATTCAAATGAAAAAAAAGTGAAAGATTTTGAAAATGCAAAAAAATCGCAAACCAATTTATTAATCATTTCAAAAAGTAATTTTCTTCAAAAAGAGATATTAAATATAATATAGTATTCATTAAATAATAAAATATAATAGTATCATGATTGTTTATATTTATTGTCTATCCATTCTCCTCCTCCTTCGAAATGTTGAAAGTTGAAATAAATTTAATTTTTTTTAAAAATGAAATTTGAAAATTCGAATATCCTAAAAGATGAAATAATTTTCTATTGTCCATTCTCCTAAATAAATTTAACATTTTCATTTTTTTAGGATATTCTAATTTCGAAATTTCATAAAGTTAATATAGATATTTATTTAGGAGAATGAATAATAAATTTTTCTTCTTAAACAAATACTGCTGATTTTATTATTTTATTTTCTCAAGATATATCATTGGTGTGAAAGTTGAAAAAAGATGTATCATTGGTATGGAAGTTGAAAAAGATGTGACAAGAGCGTATAATTGCAAATGTTATCATTTTGCATATGATTTCTATGATGCAGAAAATTGCTGGTTATAAACGATACGTGAAAGCTTTATCAGTTAGTTGCATTTAATTCAAATATGAAAACCAGCTCAAGCTGTCTCATATTAAATCATCTGGAAAGAAATTTGACCTAGTATTGACCTCAAAATATCCTGTTACTTGTGCTTTTCTATCCTGTAATTAACTCTGCCACACAGTAATACCAACAGATGGATCAGCTAACAGCTGACTACAATTTTAATCTCTTATAATATATACATATATCTAAAAAGATTTATGATTGCCAACTATTTGAAAGAATGAATAGAAATAATTTCCAGTACTTAAATAGCAAATTTTTATCATAATTACAATTTAATTAAAAGTTTCAAATTTTTAAAATTAATTTAAAAAATTTTCATTTTTCGTTTTTTTCTTTTTTAACTTTTTTTAACTCTCATGTAAAATTATGATTTATCGTTAAATTAAAACAAAAATAATAAAATTCCGAAATTAATTACTAATGAAAGGAAATTTCAAAAAACAAAGAACTATTTTCTTAGCAAACAAAATTAAGTGGATTCGATTTTTATTTAATTTTTTGCTACAAACAAAGAAAGATTGTCAACAAAAAAAGCGAATGACAACTGTTGCCGTTAGAATTATTATATCAGAAGCAGATGTTTTAGATATTCTTAATATCGCATCTTTTTCACCTTCACTATGCCTAAATTAACGACATCAAAGAGTTGTTAAGATGAAATTAGCAACAAATATTGGGTGTCATAAAGCTGCGGGAAGCAATTTTATTCTTCCGGGTCAAATGATCAGATATTTCTTATCTTACCTTTGCTTGATGCAATCAATATAACAGACAAACATATGTTGATTGATTTTTTGCTCCATAAGGAAGTTCAATTAAATCATCATAAATCAGTAAATGTATTTCATGGCATGGCAGAAATGCTTCCGTCATTTTTCTTTGTACTTTCAAGAAAGGTTAAATTGAAACATTATAGGTCAATTTTATTTCAGGCATACTTTAACCTTTGACTTATTTTATTTTTGAAGCAAAGATTAACTTAAATTTATCATAAATTAGTAAATATTTTATGCTAAGCATATCTTGGCTTTTTTTTGCACTTACGAAGTTCAATTAATTGAATCAATTAAATTATCACAAATTAGTGATAATACAACAAACACACACATATACACATAAATGTGTGTAATAAATTTATCATATTAATTAGATTAATTTACTGGTAAATTAAGCTAAACATTAAATACTAAGAAAGTCTTTTATTGCCACTGTAATTTTATATCGATTTATTTACAATTGTTTTTCATAAAATAGATCAGAGAGGAAATGTACCCATTAATCAATCTATCATTTGGAATAGGATGACAGAGAGATTATAAGGTTGGTAAATGAAGTCGATAAGCGGCTTCATTTCTCAACTATATTTCATCTTCATTTTTTCCCTCTACTAATGATAAAAATATCATCTCTCTCAAAAGGACCGCTATAAAAGAGAATGTTATGCTTGAATGCGTCCTTAAATCTTTCCAATTATATATCCAAATCCAAAAGTTGCGTAAAACTATTGCACACTATAACAATTATCAAATTACATACCTGTAGCAAAGGTATGGTAGAAGTATTTCCCATGGGAATAGATATTCTTCATTTCCTTACTGTCAAATAAATAAACAATTGTTTGTAAAATGATAATTCTACTAATAGGGACAAAATATTTGTAAAATTTTAAAATAAAACTAACAAACGATTAATATTTATAACACGAAAATATAGGATAAGTGATTATGATAGAAGTTAATTAATAATTAAAAAACAGTTGTAATTTTAAATTCTTATAGAAATAGTAGTAGGCTGTAAATACAGAAGAATATGGTAAATTCGCAGAAAAAAATGAGGAAATTTCGGAAGATGGAATTTGCAAAGGCAGAAGAATCTAACAATCAGAATCTAACAATATTTGAGAATTCAGAAATTCCAAAAATTAGCAAGATTAACTTCGAAACTTTACAAGTCTGAGGAATACATTACATATCTCAAATTAGAGTTATAAATTTGATGGAAATTTGCTTTGAAAATTAAAAATGATATTTTTATAATTATAAAATGCAAACAAGAATTCTTCATTCTATTTAATTTCATTAAAATATTTTGTTGCAATTTTAACAATTTAGGAATTTAAATTATAAAATTCATTCGTTGATATTTTATTACTTTCCCAAATAACAACATGTTTGTGATATTTTGGCTTGATCAGAAATATTCTCAAAAGCCTGAAATATGAAGAAACCGTGTTGCGACAAACGAACAATCATCGAGTAACCTGAATAAACTTAATCCGTCATTAAATAGATTTATATGATCTTGTTGGTGCTTTTTTTTCCGGATATTCTTTATATGCTAGTATTTTCAGCACATTCCTGAATTGAAAGATATAAATCTGAGGAAGCTATAATTTTGTATAGCAACAATACCTAATCTACAGTACTATCTACCAAAGTCATTTTCTTCTGATGATAGCAGATTTACATTCTCGATATAAGCCATATCGAAAATGACCAATGCTAGCGATTTTTCGAACTGTTCATTTATTTTAAATACTGATACAGGATTAATAATGGTACATTCCTAGAATATTTCTGATCGAGCCAAAATATCTCAAACATGTTGTTATTTGGGGCAATAATAAAATATCACGAATGAATTTTATAATTTAAATTCCTAAATGGTACATTCCTGGGCCTGATACATTGCTGGGCTGCTTAAAACAGCCCAGCTTCATGATAATTATTTCCACCCTTTTCAACATCCCTTGCATAAAGTTCTTTTCTGGTCCTTTTTTTCTTTCCTTTAAACTTATAATTAGTTATTTGTCAAGGTGTAACTTTGCACGACAACTTTTTCTCAAAAAACATTGCTCTCATTTCACTACCATCATTTCTCTCCTTCACTCTTTTTCTATTTTTTCATTCTCTAACTCTCTATTCCTTAAATATCCATTTTTCATCATTTCTCTAATTAAGATGCCTCTCTTTTTAATGTAGATTCTCATTATCCTTTTCTTTGCCTCATTTACAATACTATCTCTGATATTTTCATCTTCTTGCACCACAATATTTTTCCATCTTTTCGATCTCTAACTCCTTCATTTGTGCTATTTCTTGCTCACGCGTTATTGCAAGAAGATAGCGTGAATTTTTTGAGGTTAATTAAAACTTTAGCGAAATAGTTTGCACAGAGATACAAGACGAAATGTCTATTTAGCGTTATGTTCAGAGACGCCATGCAAATTTTGTTTCCCGTGGTTATTTTCATTCATATTTCTTTCGGTTGTCATCTCATCTCGGTCTGGAGAAAGTAGCTCGAGCATCAGTTGAAATTAGTTCTATTACAGCTTAACCGATATGAATTTTTGTGATTAAACGATAAGGAAGAAAGAGAAGAAAGGACATTTGGGAAGGGACGAATGGCTGCTGTTCGACGGCCTACCAAATCATTAAGCGAAGTTAATGAAAATAAGGACGATGTCTTGTAAGTATTTCGAACTAACAAAAACTTGCTTGTATCAGGGTATTCATACTAGTTACTAAGTAAACGAATAATTGACTATGATTAATCAAGTATTTACACGATTATGTTTCACTCCAGATTAATTGATTGAGCAAGTAATTATGTAAATGACTTTCGACTAGTCAAATAGTAACTGGGTTAGCAAGCAGATTTAAAGAAGTAACTTCCTGGCATTTTTACTCCATTAGTAAGGGGTGGCAATACGGAAAGTTCACTACGCTAAAAAAATGAAAATAAATGGATGATTGATTTGCCAAAATTACTAATTAGGTCCATCAAGTTAATAAGCAAGCAACGTTTGGTGTTAACAAATAATTAAATGACACTAAAACGAAGTTGCGAGTGGCAACTTGAAAATTTCTAGCGGTAAACATTAGCGTCATTTTTGTCACTGTTTTTATTGTCACTTGGTTGTAGGCGCATTTAAATTTGAATTGTTCAGAATTAAAGTTATGAGGAACGATATTCTCGCTCTACGTCCACTGTTATTTAAAGAGCGACTGAGATAAGGAGTAACTCACTTGAACTCCTTCATGGCATTCATTTTTATGGAATATGAGGACGGAGCAGTTCTAGGATGAATAGCTATACGAATATTTTTAATTTGTTAGAACTTCAATTCATCTTAATTTTGGATTGGTTTTCAGGTTGAAAGTTCGTGGTATTATGTATAAATGGACGAATTTTATATATGGTTGGCAAAAACGTTATTTTGAACTGGAGAACGGCGTTTTAGTGTATTACAAATCAGAATCAGAAAAGCAATACGGAAATCGTGGCTCAATTGCACTACACGTTGCACGTCTTGTGGTAGTTAATAAACTGTTTTTTTTTCTTTACAGAATGTATGTTTATAGAACGGAAAGAAAAGGTATAAAATGGAAAATATATAGCATGCCACAGATAAAATTGAAAATATGAACCTCAATAAAAGCCATGCAATATAGAAAATATTTTTCTTCTCTACAGCGTTCTATTTGTTATTTTCGATGGCGTGTCACTTTTCTACACTATGCCGATTTTTATTTCGTGTATCGTTGCTTGTCATTATAGGAAAGTGATATTGACTTTAATCGATTTGATGTGCTAACGAACGATTCTTGCTGGTATTTAAGAACTGAAAATCCAAAATTTCGGTATTTGTGGCTACGTGCTTTAAGATACCAAATGGTTCGTTGCATTTAATTCTACATATTTTCTTTTCTTAATTTTGCAGAAAAAATTCTGCTTTCTTAAGCTTTATTTATTTGCAAAATAACTATCGCACTACTTTGATGACATTCGAAATTTTTTCTCAGAATTTTGTTTTAAATTGTATCTGGTTTTTTAGCAGGTCGGATCAACCAATAAACCAAAGAACCATTGTTCGACTAATGACTCAACGAAAAGTACAGATTGTGAACAATCATCATTATCTGTAATTTTTATTTGAATTAATATAAGCAGTGAATATAGGATGGGCGATGACTTTTTTATTCGTCTTTTTATAGTTAGTAGGAGCATTCAAGTTGAACTTGTTTTATTCGATTTTGTTGGCAGCATTTGTACGTGTATATTTCTCAGACAGTAGCTCTACTCTTTAGCTTAACGCTGTATGTTATGAACGGGAATTTTTATGTTGCAGAATATCGATTCTACTGTGTCTGTTTGAGGTTTTTATGTTGAATCTCATCATTCTTCATAAAACAATAGCTTATATTTTTTGTATGTAAGATGGTCAACGTGTGCTCAAGCGATTACGAATACAAAATTAAGGCTAAAACATAGTTGATCTGGAGAAGGGCAGGAACACAACCTAGTTTTTTGTTGTTGTTGTTGTTCATCTTGCAACTTTATGTTGTAAATTGATCAGAGTTTCCATTGTTATCTGATCTCATATCTCTGATTTTCCTTTTTTCTTCGTGGATATGGACGTAATCTGTAAAACAGTCTCAATATGAATAGAAATGAAGTATCCACATGAAGTAATTAATTGATATGAGCAGTTTCATTATTTTCCAGTTACAATTGACGAATAAAATGGAACAATTGGAACGTTTCAACGATATGGTTGAACGACAAGCAGCTCGATTGGAAAATTTAATTTATTCAATCAAGGATAACAAAGAAAATACTAGCGCTACTTCTCTTTTAGATGAAAGCATTGCACTGAATGCTGTAACTATTGCTGTACTGCAGAATATTAACACGTGCGTTCATTTACTCGCAAAACAGGTATTAGTAAATTTTCCAAATATTAATGGAACTAGTATTCCGCTACATTAGCTGTGAAGTTAGATTTGTAAAATTTCGCAGGTTTTTTACTAAACTGAAATTTGAAAAATGACAAGTAATTTAAATAAGCGGACACGATGATCGCATATGTCTTGCTTTATTATTCTTCATCAGTAATTTCGTCTTTTTTTATGTTGTAATTCTTTTGTTCTGTAATTTGTATACGAACTAGTGCTTGTAAAGCAAATTATCTATCGGGAAGGGTTATTGCCTAAAAATGAACAAAACATTGGGCGGAAGAGTTATTGAATTATTTATATATAAATAATTAAAAATATGTTAATTTCTTTATATAAAGACTTATTTTGGATGAAATATTTCAAATTTGGGAAATTTTGGCAAGATACGGAAAGACCAACGAATAGTTCTCTGCACACTTTTTTTTCCAAAGTATTCTCAATTTAATGAAGAATGCGAATGAGGAAGGCAAGCAGTCATCATTTTATTTGTCAGTTTTTTCATTCTTACTCCCATTTATAAAATGGATCGCTGTTTAGGACTTCTTTAATTCAAACACCCAAAATATGCATTTCTTTTTATTTTATTTCTTTTCTTATTTGTGGCGACATTACTCTATCTTTTTAAAATATTTTGCATAGCGGTAGAACATTTTTCTATCAATGTCGACATTTTCATGAGAACAGGTTTTATAGTGGAATATGAAGTATAAATGTTCTGGTTCGTTTTATCTGTTTATTTTCTCGCTTGTTCTTGAAACCACCTTATCTTCCTGTGCGTTCGGCCCACGGTTTTGCATATGTTTGTTTCCCTAGCAGACCACTAACTGTTTTCCTTTTAGAAAATGACGTGATTTTTCTTGGAAGATTTGTCATTATGAAAATGAACAGAAATTGATTTATTTTATATCCGAGTTTCTCAAAAAAAGTACATACACAATCTCTTTTTTAACCGTGAAGGTAGCCCATCATTCAGCCACTACATTAATGCATTTTTGGTGTGACTTAACGGCTTGTGGTTGCGTAATCAAACCAAGCGCTCAAGACTTGCAAATACTTATTTTGATAGATCGTACAGCGAGACCCCTTTTAACCGGTTTCTTCTCTCTTATATCAATGAGATTAACAGTGAGCCTATTCTTTGACTCATTGACCTATTTGTGAATCACTATTTGGAATTATTTACTGGAGTATCAGCTGATGATTATTCAATAGTAAAAATTAATTATGTTGTGGATAAATATCTAACTGCAAGGTGGATTTATATATAATTTCAGTAATTGGTTAAGCAGTTGAAATATAATGTGTTCCTTTTTTCCAAGATTGCAAGATTTTTCCAAGATTTTTTTCACTTCTGGCACATTGCTTCGCAATAAACTGAATGGAAAAGTTGTAGCATTCTTCTAACGACAGATTTTGTAGGAGTGTAATGTTCAGATTCTGAATCTTCTATTTATAACGTCATTTTAGGCGAAAGTCAGTCGTAATCAGTGTTACAGCGAGCACTACGAGACCGAGCACGAAGTCATTGCTAATAACAGTTCACAACGCATCATGATGAATCAAACATCCGTATGCTTCAAAAATTTATGAAATCAGATAGGAACTGAAAATATGAATTAGTAGACTTTTATTGGAATGAAATATTGAAATGAATCAGATAAGTATTCGAAGATCAGAAATGTAATAATCGGAGAGCGGGGAGAAATACGGGGGAGAATACAAAGGATTTTCATTCCTTCGAAGCTGAGTTTGTTATAATGAATGAAATTTTAAAAAGACATGATTTCGAGTTACTATTTAGATTTAGACAAAGGAAAAATATGACTATTATTTGGAGTGCTTTAACGTTTATATTTTTAGTTTAGGACACCAATTGAGGGGAGCTAATGGTGAATTGATCAACTAACACAGCACTTAGCAAAATTATATAATATCGTCTAGATTTAATGGTTAGCAGTTGGAGGAATATGACAGTATGTAGCACGATAAAAAAAGTTATGCGGTGAAGTGTATTCTTTTTGTCGTATCCCTTTAAGTGGATATTAGATTTAGTGAGTATATCAAGATTGTTAGCGCTTTAAATTCATAAAGCATCATGATGTTGCCGGTAATTCTGAATTTATCTTCTTTCTACTCATCCATTTTTTATCAAGCTGTAATTTCCTAAAGCATTTCTAAAGTGCATTTATTTTTTTCATATTTTAAACGAATGGTAGGAAATTAATAGCACATGTTACTAATTACTATAAATTGTCCTGGCGAGAAGTAACATGACTTTGTATTTTGATGTTTTGTCCTTTTTAACTTTTTTACTACAAAATTCTCAGATTCTTTCAGTTACTTCATCATAGATACTTACTCAGCTATGTTTAGAACTATTTCTTTCTAAAACACTGAATTCATTTAGCTGCTCAAATCATTAAATTTCATTAGCTTTCTATTCAGATGATTTAATTAACTTATCCCTATTCATTTTATTAATTCCAATGCTTATTATACTTTCAGGTACTGGATAATGTTTTTTTAAGTGATGATGATGAACAGGAATGGCATGATGCTTATGATAGTACTCCCGAAAACAGGAGCGTTATAAAAGAACCCAGTTTTTCAGTTCGTATCTTTGTCAATTTGAAATAGTTCTTAATGCAGCAATCAAGTTTGATATTCTAATACTCCTTGCTCTCTTGACTTCCTTCTCTTCTAATTCTCCTTTTGAGCATGCTTACTGTCCAACATTTGCAGGTTTAGATATTAAATATTAGAAAATGCGAAGTATTCTAATACTTCGGAATATACATTATAGTTTTCTGAGCCGTGGAAAAAGCTTTGGCAATCCAAAGTTATTTTTCATGGTATGTGCCGATTATTTTTAATGGTGGATACAAGCAGTATGTAGGGCAGTTGGTATATCATATTGATAAAAGTTAAGTGATATGTCTAAAATTTGTTACTAAATTATTAAGTTTGTTGGAATTATCAATTTGTTTTTGTGTCTATTCAAATCTAAAAGCAAATATATGTCTTATTTTAGTCTAAAAGTGCTTTCAGGTTAAATCAGAACAAGAATGATTTAATAATTTTAATCAAATTAATTTATTGGCAATGTATCCTATGTATTTACACATTTTATTTCGGAAAATAAGTTGAATTTTTTGTGGTACTTTCTAACATGTGGTTAATTGTTAAAGATTATCACAATTTTTTATTGCCAAAAGATGCTGCCTGAAGTGCTTATGTCATATTAAAATTATCAGATTTCTGAAGTAGGATTTTAATTAGTCATGCATTGCAGTACATCATGTTTTCTCCCATTTATTTTAATTGAATTGATTTTGCGATAATTTTAGGAGAAGCAAACAACAAGGATGCCAAATTCAGAGTCGACAACTGAGACGAGAAATGAAAATTATCCCGGTATTGCTGAATCACCACCCAAAGATATTACTTTGCCTACATCAAATCCATTTGCAGTAGAAATCAACCAAATTGCGATGGAACAATTAAAATATGCACGATCTGGTATTTATGACGATGTTAGATTTCTCATTTGAATGCCAAATTTTTGTTCTAGTAGATTTAATTAAGTTGTTTTGTAGTCGACATGGACTAAGTTAGTTTGAAACTAGAGGGAAATGCACTATGTCGAAATGTTTAATAATTCTGCTTTAAAATTTAGAAAGGAAATGAAAAGAATAAATAAAATTTTCAAATTTATTTGTGCTAATTTAAAAAAGCACGGAGAAATTTCTTTGGTTTGATCAAAAAATTGATTTATAGGTTTGGCAGTTGTTTATGGAAAAGGATGAAATGAAAATGTATAGGAGAGAGTTGGAAATTAATGGATTAGTCTGCGATCCACTGAAAGCTGTTCATTTTGTGCAGGTCTTCTTTGTTTCCAAGTTTCCCAAGAAAGGATTTAACTTAAATATTTGTTGGACAAAAATTGGAGTCCAAATTTCGTCAACTCATGGAATTTCGAAAATTAATAGAATATTTTGGAATTAGGGATTTTAATGAAAAATACACCAGTGTGAAATAGTGGGCTTTATTCATTTCAGTACATTCCATAACATTGGAAAAAAATATGTGCATTTATAACGACATAGCAACACTGAAAACATTGCCTTTTTTAGCAGTCAAAGTGAATTAATAAAATTTATTTTAATCCATGTTGTTTTAGGGTGTATCGGCTCGGGAATACATTCATTATTTCTTCGAACCGCGATACAAGCATGAGTGGGACGGTTAGTTTTTTTTCTGCTCTAAAAAATGAACTAAAAAAAGGAGATTTGGAAAAATTAATCCATATCTATTCAATGGTTTCTGTTTTTGTGAAATTTCGAATGGATTTATTCTACATTCCAAAAAATGAGGCTTTTATTAATGTATTTTAGACGTTGTTGACATTCGTTTATACGAGCTTTTTCTCCATCTGTAAAACGGATTATTAATCTAAAATGATTATGAATGGATTGTACTAACTGTTAATTATAATCCTATTAGATTTTATCAAGTTTGAAAAACAAACATGACAAATTTTCAGAAACATTGGTCAAGACAGAAGTTATTGAGAGAATTTCTATGGATACTGTTATAATACATCAGGTTAGATATCTTTCGCTAAGGTATATTGAATATTTTTTCATCACACTTTTCGGATTTAAACTCTTGAAATCATGAGTTTTGCTTGCTTTTGCTTTAATGCCAGTTATTCGGTCTTCCAGTTTATCATTTTGATTTGTGCTATTTTTTTTTCAGCTACACAAAAGAATTTGGCCGTCTGCTCAACGGGAATCCCTATTTTGGTCAAATGTACGATACCTTCCAGAAGAAAAAAGTTCGGAAGCTTTGGATTTATATATGGTATGCAATCACGATTGCAACGTTCCAAATGTACCGGTTAGTTCCTTTTCTTATTTTAATCTTTTTGAATATTTTAGTTGCATTTCCAATAGTTTTGTATATTAAGGAGTGTTCCATAAATCAATTTTTTGTTGTCAGAGAGATAACGATTGAAATAACATTTTTGAAATTCAATGTTTTAGTTGCAAGATGATTCAAATGTTCGAGTAGGTTTAACTGTAACGATGCTATGTGAAACACTTGTCAAAGATGGGCATAAAAAACCAGTGGTCGAGCTGAAGCGTAACGATATTCAATGCCAAGTGTGTTACTGTGCACAAAGTAAGTTCATAAAATATTGAATCATTTTCGAGAACTTTTAAGCATGCATTATTAAAGCTTTTATTTGATAGTTAATTTTTTGGCGTTATTTTTTTATAACTTTCTTTTCGAAATTTCTCCACGAATAACAGATTAATAACATCACAAGTGAATTATGTAAACAAATTTTTATAAAAAAATGAAATAATAGTGAAACTGGTTATGATGGTCGCTGGTTAATGTCGTAGTGGTAAAAAAGCTTAAGAAAGATTGCAATCATAATTGCTATTGCTTGAATGAAGGAATTACCACGATAGATCACTTTTCTTTAGGATCTATAAGAAAACGATTTACACTCTGAACTAAGCAATGTAACTTCAGAATAGTCATACGAATTAAACTTTTCTAGAAAACTCGATAGAAGTTAATAGTTTAATTTCTGTGTTTGTTGAATGGAATGTATCAAATGAAAAAATTTTCAGTAAATCCAGGTGGTTGGGTACCGGCATCAGCATTGCGAGTTATTTATAAACGTGAATATCCGAAATTTTTGCATGGTTTCACCAAATATGTGCTCAATAAAATTAAAGCTCAACCATTAATGATTTAAAAAGATCATTGGTATTTACAAGTTTAACTTCATTGTTTACATGTCGCTGTACAATTTTTCTTCCTTTTTTCCCAGCGTTTAATTTTTTGAGATAGAACTCCACTTCGATGTTTTAAGTAAATTCACCACTTATGAATTTTTAAGCATTTCTTCCAACTTCATGCATATACTTTGCAACAAGTTATTAAAATGCTAATTCTATCAAATTTTCACGTTCATTAATTACTTTTTCTGTCCTTAAAGGCTTGGTACGGACGATCTTGTCGTTTTTGCTTTTAAGACATTTATGGTTCTGGAAAATGCAAAAATAATGTATATATATTTTTTGATCCGTATCGAGCACTCATCTTGCGAAATATCAATTCTCACCTGAAAATCTTTTCATTTTCATTTATTTTATGTATTAAATCACCAGTACCAGTATCTCCTTGTGCTATCTTTCGACTATAGTTAACCTCTTCCGTAGCTCAAAGTGCTTAGCAATGTTTCATATCTGCTCAAAGATCAACTAACGAATGTTATAACATTGTTTGTTTCACAATTAGCAATACTTCTTGAGCTTCAAATTTGGTCCTTTATATTCTTTTACTACATTTCTAGATATGCATGTGATGCTATTCCATCCATTCCTCTTTTCTCGTCTTAACCAACATATGTGAATCAGTTTTTAAATTCCATTCCTTTTTTTCATATACTTGAACTTTTTTCACTCCTGTAATTTGTGCCTACTTTTTATTAACAGAAATTACTTCATCACTTTTGCTTTTTTAAGAACAATAGCTTTATTCTCAGGTCATTTTTGTTTAATAGTATTTATGATATTACATTATTACTTATTCAAAATGTTTCCTGATTGTTAAATATATAGTGCAGAATTTCCTCTTTTGTTAATTTCAATATTCTAAAATAATGAAAGAATTGCTGCCGTACAGTACTATCTTCTAACTAGTGAAATTTTGCTTTTGGATACCATCGTTTTTTATCCTCGAGATTTGTTTTAATTTTTCAACAATTAAAATCCAGAAAGAAATATTACATGCAAAATTTGAAAAATGAACTGAGGTTATTGAACCAAAAAGAAAAAATTCATTCATTCAAATATTAGGACGAACAAGTTGACAAAGTTGATAAATGTTTTTGACCGTATGAAGTAAATCATTGTCATCGATGTGATTTTATTTACGTTAGATTTGGAATGATTCATTTCTATTCTTATTATTTTCGATGATTTAATAGGAAAATTATTTGCTTTTTTCTATTGTTTGTAATATTTATCAAGAAGAAATGTACGAGATTCGAACCTTGCAGAAATTTTTTCTCGAAAAACGTTGTTTGAAAATACTGCGCCGAAGCATATATTAATTAAGCAGCTAATACGATGCCTAACCGTACTAGTAGATTTACCATAGCTTATATTTACTGACAACTCATTGAAACAGTACCTTTGCTTATTGGTAAGCTTTTTTATAACAAGTAGCTTTAGTCTTTCAGGCTTGCAATCCTTGTTTAAATGTATAAGAGGTTGAGTCACCTAATAAATGATTAAAACGTCTGGAAAATATGAGAGGAGGATGCTATTTTGATAAAGGAGACAGGTTCACGTTTCTCGAAAAACCGAGTGAACGGAATTTGCGAGCTTTGTATTTCATAGATTTCTCCAAAAAGTTTTTCAGGCTTAGAAATTTATTCATTTTTCCGGTAAAGTTCGGCAGCGCATGCTGAATTTTATTCACATGGTAACCTGACGCTGCAATAATTTTTTTATTCGGTAAATAATGAATTTGAAAGGAGTTCAAGTACCATTCACCAGGTTAGTTGATCGTAGTATACATTTTCATAATAAGATGTTGCTAAAGGGAATTCTGCTCAATATTTTGAAATGGTAGGACCGTATAAAAGCCCTATTTTATACAGGATATGTCATTTCTCGAACTCGTGTTCTCGAAATAAACTTAGTTCTTCCATTTGAACTTTTGATGAAGTTTTCATTTCTTAGTTACCGTTAACAAAAATGACGTTTTATTAAATATTCTTTTTAGGACTGAATGGGATATTGTAACAAATGTATATCGAAGTGATAAAGCAATTGAATTAAAACAAGCCGTGGCATTGATCGTGTCATGGAAAGCAAGGTTGACTTTCCTTTTATTATCCGATTATTTTGCATTTCTTATTCATTATCGTCGGCTCTATGGAAAAATGATGTCTTAATTCGTAATTATTAGATTGTTCAGTTTATTTCTCTTTAGTTATACCCTTGTATGCAAAAAGACTCCTCCATTAACATATCTGTATGTTGTTAGCTGTTATCAACTGTATCATTATCACAGGGATCAACGAGCTTTTGTGTCAACTTTTTTTGCTACAAATTAAAATGCGAATTCTTGATTTTCATGAGTGATATATTTTTGTTTAGTTTAAGATTTTCAAACTTTAAAATGTTTTATCTTTTAGGCGGTTTTTCTTCAGTTACTTCTTGTAGTATTTCCGTAGATTGTGTCATAATTTCATGCCGGATAGCGTTCCATTCATTCCTAAAAAGAATTTATGTTTGCTAGCTATCGCTCATATAGCTTAGTTCTAACCGCGCCGAATTTGACAAAGTTTCTAAGTTGTTAAGTCTATCGCATATTTTGCGATAGACTTCCGCATCCTACGACGTAAAATTGAATGATAAAAGACATCGGAGTGCGACTAGTTCTACAAATGAAAACAATTCGTTTAGGTCTGGCGATTCGGTCCACGTTGCTGCAGATATGACTGAAATGCTTTTGCGTGCAATCATTATGGATAAGGAGACTAGAAATGATGACTGGTTCAGGATCGGAAATGTAAAACTTGCCTATTGTACTGCTATTATCAGGTTAGTGAATCTTAAAACTTTCCCAGCAAATTCCACAATTTAATTGAACGCATTATAATTTAGAAGCAGAGGAAACTCAGTTTTTAATTATGTATGTTTATTTATAAAAAGTTCAGAAATACATCGGATGTTATCTCCAAGCATGCTGTTGCCAAAACTTCATCATAGTTACACATTATCTGATTACATGTTTTGAACCAAAAGTACTGTGTTGACAACCGTTCTCGTCATATCTTTTGCCACATTTTCGTTGTGTTATTCGTCTTTTTATCAGATATACATTAATTATCAGATGTACATTAATTTTCATATCGTAATATTTATTTGGTAAGTCGTAGTTGATCAAGAATTTGAAATTCAAGAACTGTGTTGCTTGAAGTTTAGCTCAAAGCTTAGGTGGTGAGACATTGCCATTAGTCCAAAATTCAGAGTCAATTTATAAAGATTGTTTTAGATAAGAACAGAAGAAAGATGTTAACTTTTAATTAGATTTGCATTATCAGGAAATTCCGAAAAATTTTCTGTTCTAAGGTCCTTATTTTTCTTTTCGCTGCGACTAATTTTATTCTTTCTTTTAATTTGCCAATTTCCTCATCGAAGCTTTTTGATTTTGAAGCAGAACACAGAGTATGGAAATGCAAAATTTACTATTTTCATGATTGGCATTTCCATTTTGGCGCATACAAATAATACCTTCGTATACACGATTCTATATGTGCCAAGTTCGGAATGATAATAGAAGCAAAATTATTGCTTCTGCTATAAAGAATATCTGAAATTTAAACTTGAACTTAGTGTAATAATATTATTTTATGGTAAAGCCTATGATGTACATACTAAAGTGATAGTAAACTTCTCATGTCTTTAGGTACATTTATTTTATTTCAGTAAATTGTAAAATTGGAGAAAAAAAATAATTTAAAAAAGAAAAAATTTTGCAGTTCGATAAAAAGATAGGAAGAGCTTTTTTTAAATATTTCTGAAAATTTTATGAATCTAAATTTTAATAATTATCTGTTGCTTGAAATATTATAAATATTATAAGCTGGATAATTCGTTGTATTAGCGATATGAATTTATTATAAATAATACAACAATGGCGTTTGATTGTTTTGGAATGGCTTTTTTTATTTTTCCTGAATAAATTAGAAACATCCTTAAAAATGAATATATTTGGGGTGATTAGATGATTAAAATTTTTTCGTCTTCTTATTCTTGGCGTTGTTTTTTTCTTCACCATCTCTTTGTCTATTTCCTCGTATTTTCATAAAAGTTACAACACATATATATAGATAAGGATAATGGAAAAGTCGATAACAATGAATTGTTGATTAAAGTCAACAAGTTGTAAATTGTACGTAAGATTTTCAAAACCAGGGAATAATTTAATTTTTTTTCATGTTCAACATGTTAAGTGGCTATTTTCATATTAAATTTCTAATACTTCTACTTTCACTTCCCTGCTTCTTTGAGAGCGCAGTCTCCGGATGTTGTTGGAATCGTGATTTTTTGCTTTTTTAGGATTTGTTGTTTTCACTTTCAAAGAATATATCAATATTCTTTCCCTGTCTGTTGCTCTGTTGACATATCTTCTGGATTGCACAACTGTTTAAATTTGTTAGTAGACAGAAATGATTTTTGTTTTGATAGATTTGCATAACAAAGTAGAAATTTCATTTGCATATTGATTGAATGAAATATAGGAGGCTTAAATTTTGGGAAAAGGGCGAGAGTAAAATAAGGATAGAGATGGGACGGATTTGATATCTTATTGACAAAGTAGTGTAGTTGCGATTGATGTCGAAAATCAATTTATATGCATGATGTAACTGCTATTAATATGGTTTATTAAAAAGATGGTCAGTTAATTATTACAAAATGTGTTGGGATAAAAGTAGTGATTGTAACATATATTATCGAGCAGCATAATGATGAAGGCAATGATAAGATGTGAACAGAAAAGAATGATAAAATAAGAGACTCAGGAAGATATAAGATATAAAAAGTTAATACATCGTAAATGTAACAAGATGAGAAGAATCAGTTGGTTAAATTGGTTAATTGTTAATTTCTCACTTTTTTACTTTCTATTCCCAATGATTTTGTTTAAATATTCAAGCGGGATGAGTGCACCCAAAGTAAAGCTCATTTAAAATCAGGAACATGCCAATTGTTAAACATCAAAGTTGGCCCATCTTGGCAATATTTTTATTATGCTATGCTATCAAAATGAAAACGACTGTGAATATTATATTGAAATGCTTGATCTGGAAGTAGCCAAACTTACTAATTTGATGTTATATAAGTAATTCACTTATTTCTAGGTTTGTCACATGCACTAAAAATTTTCACGATTTATTTATTCAAGATTTGTCGCTATTGATATTAATTTAAAAAATTTAATAAGTAGACTGTTGTAAATTAATGTTTTCTGATTAGTACAAGAGTTATTTTAATGGTTTCTAAATTTTTCAAAAAAATTTTAAAAATTGAACTGATTAGCGTTTAATTTATTTCTATAAAATCAGCTTTGTTTTCATTTCGTAAATTTCCGGTTCTCATCTTGGTTTTTTTAAATCAGGGGAAAGTTACTAATTCTTGCAATAAAATTTTCCTTCATTTCTCTCTTGTTCGTCATTTTACGGTTATAGTTGAATTCAGGATATATTTCATCAAGTAACGGATTTAGAAAAATTCCAGGAAATGATGAACTATGCAATTTTTTTGCAGATTTGTGAATTATGTTAACGAAATATGCCAATCGAATTACAAGTTCAAATCAATTGCATCGGCGGTTAGTGATGTAAGTAATGATTAAATTTGGTGAAGTTTTCTTGAGATGAATTAAAATACTAGAAGATTCAGTTTTATAAATCGAGAGACTGAGAAGCTGGCTATAAATGAGCTGCTTTATTTAGAACGAAATCGATTGTGGCAGAAATTTCCTAGATTTCCCAAAATTATTTTAGGTTGGAATTCCACAATGGGTAGTTGATATTCGACATAGTGCAACTCATTCGCATCTTCCATCGCTGAATAGTTTGCGTCGAGCAGCGACATATTGCCGAAATTGGCTTTGGGTAAGTCTTTTGCAGTATATAGGGGCATACATTTCGGATTTGAATTGTTATTGACTTTCAAAAGGTTGGCTTCATTACAGACTGTTTATGTCTTTTTATACTCTAATTTAGGATCGATTGTTGAGTTGTTTGTTACATTTTGATTTCATAATTCAAGAAGAGATTTTAAGCGGTGTGAAGCAGTTGACAAACACAGCCTTCGAATTAATTACTTTATTTCATAAAGATATTATATCGTTAAATTCTTTTTTCAGGAGCACCACTGGTCACGACCAGTAGCCGAAGCTATTGGACTGAATTCGAATATTCAAAACGAGAATGATGAAAATAAAGTTTATCAAGAAGCTATTGACTTAATTGACCGATTTATGTTATTTTCTTTGGAAAAGGTAATTTAATTCATAAAACATAGTTTATCAATAGATCCGGAAATAAAAACCGAATTACTTAGGTTGGTAAAGTCGGTTAATAGTTTTCCATAGAATTAACGAAAAAAGGCAGAAGGGAAGAGTTTTGATTTTTCAAGTTTGGTAGTTGTTCTAGAGGAGAATTGGTCACCTAATCTGAGCGTGGTTAAGTGAAAATTATAATCAATGGATAATCAACTCATTCTCATTATAATTCTTCATTATCATTATTATGATCCAGATATTTAGCAATTCTTAAATAATTCTTCAGATGAAACTATCTATGCCCAAGAAAAAGGATAGGCCAGATAAGAACATGAAGTTGCAGAAAATGTTGACGAAAATAGAAACTTTCATCATGATGCATCCTTGGTAAATTGCTTGAAATTTTCGTTCGTTCACAATGATTGGTTTTAATTTCGGTTATTTTTCATGACTGTATCTTTCTTGTGCAAACCTTTTTTCTATGCTTGATTGCTCCTAAGTTACTTTTCGCTTTGAAAAATAAAAGTTGAACTTTTTCTTCTCACAATATTTAGCAGTTTCTGACAGTGTTTTGAACAGTTGAAACCGGCTAAATTTATTAGATTTATGGTTTTTAAATTGTTTGCTTGGCCCCTTTACACCAAAGTATGCGAAGTAGGAATTGCTTTTGTTGCCACAAGTTACTTCAGAGTATTTATAATCCAGCCTAAAAGATGGATCCAAAATTGAATTCTTTCTTATTTCAGGGAATTTTTGAATGCATTTTTAATGGATGGATATTTGATTTTAAACGAAAAACAAGCTAAATCAATTGATCATAATTTGTTTGCAGGTACTTGTTTATTAGTTGTAAAATAGCATTTTATGTTAAGTATATTTCATACGGACGGTGTATTGAAATAGAAGGTAATGGAAGATTAAATTACAATGAAGTCTTTTGATTTTAAAAAGGTCGTATCTTTTAGAGTTTTTCAATATGTCAATTTACTTTATCATTTTCATACTATTTTAAAATGCATCTACTTAATCAAAAAAATGGTAAAAAATTCTTATGTTTCGAAAAAAATTTTAATTTTTTCTGAAACCTCCAAGAATATTTTAATTTAAGGTTTTTGCATTTGCTTTTAAAAAAGCCGCTGTAATTTTTTTGCTTCTAGAAAATGTAGATATATGGGATGTTCCAGAAGATTTGCAGCTTTTTTGGAAACCAATCTTTCATTACCTGAATGAAGCCAAAATGTTGCCCGAGTTACTTTTCCAGGTAAATGTTACTGTACTTATCGCAAGGCGTGTTAAAGGCGGTGAAATTGTGCTTTATCTGTTATTAGCAATAAATGATTTCCAAGCATTCCTTGTTGACATAAGGGATCGATAGGAGTACATGTTATGTTTCGAAGTATTGCTTTATTTCACTCCTCATATCCGTAATACGAGATCACCATTTATTGAAGCAATCTAACCTAAAGACTTTCTTTCAGCTTCTTGAAACTGCATCAGGTAGTGAAATACAACCAATACGGAAACGACAACTAATTGCATGGAGTGATCGAATGCTGACTGCTTATATAGAATGTCAGTATTTGTTCCAGATTTGTTTGTTAATAATTTTTATATATTAAAAATGAAATTGATATTCTCGTTTGATGCATGTGCTTACTTTTGTTGGTTTCCGGGGCGGACAGGTTGGGTTTCGTCGATAAATTTTTCATGCTATTAAAACTTATCAGATGTCAATGGTATTGATACCTATCAGATGCTTGATATTGAAATCGCAATAAATTTAAATGTAATTTCTTTCAGCAAATGTCCTAACTCAATCTGAATGGGAGAGGATTTTGAAAGCGGTAATGTTAGCTCCAAAGGAATTGAGAGAAGTCTATTTTGACAAGTAGGTTTTTTACTAGTCTCTTTTTTCTAGTAAAATTTTTAGTCTTCCTTTCCCAGAATATCTGGTCGAAAATTACTAGGGTGCTAGAAACCCAAAGCGGGTAGACACTGTCTCGCCTGTTTTTGGAAATGTCATGATAATTTCTTCTCCTTAACTATCTTGCGATCTTTTGTACTCTTTTTTTTCAAAAGAAATATCCGAAGTTTCAAGGCTCATTTCAAATTTCAGAGTTTTAACAAAACTTGAAAAAATGACGGAGAAAGAGCGAAGTGCATTGAGGCACCTAGCAAATTTGTCTTCTAGAAAGACGAATAATACTTCAGAAACATCGACTTCTTCCGATATTGCTGCATCCTTCAAAACTGTCGAAGACTTGCAACAGTTAATGTTGCAAAAAGAAGGTTAGACAGTTATAATTATTTAGTTTTACTCTTTTCCGCTTTTATTTACTTCCTTATTTAAGTAATTGTATTCATTATACTTTTCAACCGTTAAGTGTCTAATAGATTAAATGGAACGTTTCGTAGCTTGACAATATGATAGCTATAGAGGACTTGCTGGAATTAATTTTATTTTTTACACCACTACTTCGTTGGACACAAAATATCTTGGTCATTGTTATCAATTTTTCATATTTATACAATTAATCATGCACAACAAATGCCATCGTCATTAGAGATATTTCTTCAAATTTATGGCTTATCCTAAACAAGTATTTTACCTACGAAGGGCTTTTCTAAGCTCATGACGAGAACCTAATTATGAAATTCGCTTTTAATTTTTCCCAACGAAATTTAAAATTTCAAGGTGGGGTTTTTTTTGCACTGTAAATTATAAAAAGTAAGCAGATCACTTAAATTATAAAATATAATGGTAATGGTTCTTGTTTTTTTGCGACACAATTTGAATTCTAGATTCAAGTTTGCGATTTTTTCGAGACAGTCCGTACTTTTTTGCGGCTGACAACACAAGAGTGCTATTTCTGTCGTCTATAAGTTAAAATATGTAACGCAAATAATGATAAACCAGTAGATATTAAGAGATTAAATCGAAACTAATAACAATAAGAGTTAACTGGAAAATTAGTTTGTGGTTTGATCTTTTTGTTAAGATTTTCCCGGGAGTGTTACGTTCCAGTTACTCTGTTGCTCTTCGATCACTCACCCTTTCTTTTTTCTATATCCATAACGGGGAGTGGACTATCCAATAAAGGAATCACCTCCAAAAAAAACGCAGGCAGTACAGGCTTTCAGCGTTGTTCGAATTTATTGAGCTATCAACTGATTACCCCAGATTTCACAAATAGAAATTATGGATGTTTTGAAATTTAAATCCAAAGAGTTTAAGTAGCTATAAAATTTTGATAATTTTCAACATTACAGATGAGAAGCAGTCAAGAATAGGAGATTCAAGCAATACTTCTAGTAATACACATCGTTGGTCAATCTGTAATCCATCGGAATGGAAAGGCATTCCACTGGGGTTAACGCCTGAGCAAAGTACCGAATCTTTGTATTTGGTTGTTGAAGTAGGACGGGTTCGGAAACGTCACTGCGTTGCCTAAGGTGATGTACTAAGATATGAATCGATGGCATCTACATATATGGTCTTGATTTTCAGACTTTCTTGATGACCTGTTGAGGAACATAGAAAAAAAGATGCTATTGGTTCCTTCTATCTCTTAAATTTTCGACGACGGCGTAATTCCCCACTACCCAAATTGGAAGTGACATCTGGTTATAAAGAATATGTAATCCTAGAAAAGAGGGTGTAAGAAGTGAAGGTAGAAAGGCTTTATGAACATCTGGACCCTTAGATTAAGAAACCCTGAAGATATAACTGAGCAGAATTCATATCATCCTTCACTTGATTTATAAGTCATCCTGAAAGAAAATCACTGTCTGCTTGTGAATATCGATTGTGTTTTCTCTCTGAATCCATTTTAAATTGTTCAAGTTTTTTTTTGTTAATTGCTTCCTTTAACAAATACCGGTATTGCACATTGTGCCTTTCTTACTGTTCGTTTTTGTTGCATCTATAGACAGAAAACAAACTTTGACGTTTGTTGACTTTGGTCATGAAAATTTTAACCATAGGTGTTGTCCAAAAATAAGAATAAGGAACTGATACTTTTAAACGATAAATGAATCGTAATTCAGATGATTTTGTTAATATCTTTTCCCTATTATTTGAAGAGAAAAAGCACTAAAACAAACTGAAATATCGGTCGTGTATTACTTCATTTAATCAGTTTTGTACGCAACCTTTGCTCCCGAAAATTTTGCACTTCTCCAATCACTTCAGCAAGATTGCTTCCACTAAGTTGTATCATTCGACGATCTAGATCTCTATAAAATTTTATTGAGAATTGATTTAAAAAGTAAACAGAAAATAACGAATGTCTAAGTCGTACTCTGATATTCAGACCACTAAGCTCTAGCTCCAACTCATTAATGCTAAACCTGGAAATCTCTCATTGATTAAGTGAGAAAAACAGGCTTACTTGTACTCCTCAAGAGCTAATAAGGCATCTGGTTCATCCAATTCTTCGGGACGATTGGATAATTCGGAAAGTGTCATTGATTTCAATACACGTAAATTGAAAACAATAGCCAGAAATAAGAGCTCCAACAATAATGATGTTATTAAATCTTTTTCCTGAAAAAACAATGATTACTTAATGCCAATTAAACTTTGATAAATTTGTTAACTGAAAATTATTTTAGTAACAGAGAGAATAATATGCAAATTTATCAAATAAACTTACTGAATTTAATTCACTGCAGAGATATCCTTCACATACTCGTTTTAGCACCGGTAAATTATGCAATTCAGCGTCACATAAAAAATCAGTGAAATTTTCAATATAATCCATTTGTGGTAAAGCAACTCGTGTAAAAAACATATTAGCTAGCACCTAAAAGAAATAATGAAATTTAATTGTCGAATTTCAACAACAAATCATTCGTACACTTTAATCTTATATCATCTATTTACAACGGTATCTGTAAATAATTTTTTTTCTTATCGAATCAACTTTTGAACTTTGATGTTAAAATTTTTATTTAAAATGAAAAATTTTTAGGTAGATATTAATAACCTCATGAAGAGCATCCTTATTCTGTTCACTACATTCAAAGGCATTTTCCTCATCCAATTCTTCTATCTCTTCCCGTTCCATCTCAAAATTTTCCTCTTCCATTATTTTTGCTCTCTTTTGGCAACTATCACAACATTCTATTAGCAATTTTTTGAACAATACCGTTTTATAACTGAAATTTTCATATACTTAAAAATATTTAATATTCATCGTAAATTTCCTTCCAATTATTATATTATTATATTTTGCATATATAGTATAAATTAATTAGCAATATGTTAGCATATCGGATGACTGCGATCATAATGATAATGAATTCTTTTTTTTAACAGATAATTTTAATTGTAAATTAATTAGGCTTTCGATTGATAATTGTTGTATATTGAAATAAAGAGAAGTGTGTCATCAAGAAATTCCACATAATAGTATAGGAGATCTAAAATAATTATCTCAAATTTATTTATATATTATTAGCTTACTTTGAACTAGCTTTCTTTGCATTTCCTGAACGAGATTTACTACAAAGTTCCTTTTCATCTTTCATTATACGATTAAAAACTTCTTCAAAATCATCCTGTTGCTTTAGAGATAGCCTTCGACGAATATTATCTTCCATACTAGTCAATAATTTGTTTCTGAAAATAAAATAATACCTAGATTTGATAATATTTTATCTTATCATGTTATTTTGATATTTTTTATCTTATCATTCTTTTATTGCTAGATTAAATCCTGTTGATTTAGTTTATGTATCATTCGTTAACTATTCAATATTCCTCCTACTTCTGGTATTTAGATCGAGTTAACATTTTTTCAAGCACAGATATACGACAGAAGAATGCCTTATCTCTCATCTATAAACTACTTTTGTAATAAGTAAAATTGCTTTATCTTTTTTGCCTTATCTTCTTATCTTTTTTGTGATAAAAAATTGATATATTTTCTCTATTTCATCAAAGTTTATCAAATTTCAAGTGATAAGAATGAAATAACAAACTTTAGTGATCGCCTATTGAACACTTTTGATGATGCTCTTGCCCTGTAGTTTGCGGTAAGAAATGATGTAATTGGTATTGGTGTAAGTGTACTGAGATAAGTATTCGGTTCAAATAGCTGTTGGGGCAAATTTAACGTAACCGATAAACGAACGACTTGACCTAAGTTTTCCTTTAAAAGAATAAAACTAATTGTTTAAATGATTGATTAAAAATGATCAAAAACAATCGAATTACTCCTTCAGTAATAATAGTAAATGAAATGAAAATTTGAAATGGATTTTTAAATAAAATGAAATTTTAAAATGAAATTCTATTTCCTAAAATAATTCATAATTTAATTCGTCTTTTCCCATCATCGCTAAAAATTCCTTACTACTGATTATTTTATATTCTCTATTGCTATTCACAATCAATATGATTGTTAAATTTTTCTCATACTTTCGTACTTTTTTTCCGTTCACATTTTTCTATCCATTTATTAATTTTGTTATTTTCATACCGGAAGTTCAATCAATAGACAGATTTAAAAATTCGGTAATAATTTTAAACATACATTATTATTATTATCGACTTTCTATTCTCGTAGAGTATTTATTCAAATTTGTCGAAATTTCCAAAATGATATAATTAATAAAAGTAAAAAAAGAATATTTGCTAACCTTTATATAATTTGAGAAATCAAAACGTTGAAGTGCTGTAAGCTCGGTCTTTTTACCACGAACAGCGCTTAATTTCTTTGCTAAAATACATTAATTGTTGTATATTGTTGAAAACATTTGATAGTTTAGTGGAGAGATACTAAAATTAAATTTTCAGATGGAATTATCAGAATGAAACATTATTGTTTATTTGGTAAAAAATTATTCCGAGCATATCGTTAATAATGGTATTGATAATTTGGATGAAATTCATTAATATCTTTATTCATTTAGTTTTTAAATTCTCTTACAGAATCTTTCTTCTCTTACTTATAGCCTAAGATTTTACTTTTGATAATTGATATCGCATTTTTTTGTTGCTATTTATATCATAGAATCTTATCAATCACTAGATTTTATAAATTACGTATGTGTTTTATGTGAATATGTGTTTTATGTGAATATTGAATCATAATCATAATTTCAAATATCATAATCATAAAATGAGTTATAATTTAAATGAGTAGTATTATAAGAGATTGCAATAAAAGTAAATAATATTTTGAAAAAGCGTATAAGTTTGATTAAAGAAGAGATTGTTGATAAGAATATCGATGATATGAGAAAAAAAAACAAATATCAGTATTGCTTTATTGATAATTAAATATGCGTAAAAATATTTCACTCTTTTATTATTCTTTGATGTATTATTTCTAAGTATTATTTCTGATTATTCGATTCAATAATTTTCTTTTTGAAATTAATTCATTTATAAAAATGGGAATGGAAATTAATTACTTTCAGCAATAACATAATCATCATTACTGCCATCAAGGCTATATTTTTTGTCCAGTAAAAATTTCGTGATTGCTTGTAGATCGTCGATAATTGGTGCTGGTCCATCGTTAAAATACAACGATAATGCAATATAATTCAACTCACATTTCGTTTCATCCTGACTTTCTTCTAATTCCATTTCCTCCTTTAATTAATATATATTATTTATTCTAACTATTAATTACGATTTTGTTTACGATATTTGATTACTTTCTAAAACATCTAATTATATTGCAATAAGTTATAAAATGATTTTCATAATTTTATTAATTATTAAATACATAGATAAATAAGTGATAAAATAAACGAAAAACCTGATTATTAAAAAGAATTGTGCCATGCATTTGTAACGACCATTGAAATGCGACTTGTCCATAAACAGTTGCGAATTTTGGTGATACATGTAAGATCACTGATTCATTATCATTAAGTTGACGCATTAAAATCTTTATTGTCCAAATATACTTAAAGCTAACACGTCCAATGTCACATGTTGGAAATCGTTCTGAATTCTCCTCGTTGAACGGTAAACTTTTTGTTGACATCAACAAAATATGCAGCGTACACCTATGAACAACAATTCAAATCAAAATGAATTGCTAAGAATGAATGACTGCAAATGATCACTCGATATTTATATAGATTATTGTTTTTGTTGGTTACAAGAAATGCAAATCCGACAATCATGCATAAAATCAATAATTTATATCTTTCATTATTATGCTTATTAATGGTATAATGACAAAAATATGAATGAAGATATTTCTGTGTGGGAAAATTATCACAAATTTTCGATATGCAAATTTTAATAAAGATAGTGATGTAATATTTGATATGATTTCCGCATTTCTAGATTGACAATGATAATTGCATTTATCTTGTATTTAATTGAATGAAGAAAATTATTATATCCAATTGATGTAAATGATTTTTCATTAATTTGTTATTATTTGTAGATAATTATCATAGGATAATTGTGGGTAATTATCATTATGGAACTCGCGCGATATATGTGAAAGAAATATTAAAAGTGAAAAATGAAAAAGGTTCAAAAATCAACATATAAAAAGATGATACGTACTTGTGTGATACGTAAATAGCAATAGAAAGGGAATGATTCAATCAAAGATGAAAAGAAAATTTGAGTGAAAATAGTGAAAGTGCTAATCTACGAATGAAACGTAATCGTTTAACGAATTAAAATTATCATTTGTTGAATACATTTTAGTTTCACTTTCACTTTTCTCATTTTCTCGTCACTTTCATCATTAATACAAATGATAGCAACAAAAAGGATGATAACAATGATAACAATGATAACAATAAAAAACACCGATAGAGAACAATAAACAATTGATATTACCTTTTGTCGTTATCATAGGTATCATTCCTTTTTTTTCTCTTCATGAATGAATGGATATTGATGATGTAATGAAATATTAAAATGAAAATTAGAGAGTTTAAATAGCAATTTCTTTTTGGTAATTACTGGTAAATATACATCGATCGATCTTCCTGTTTAGTTGGGTGAATTTTAATTTGCCTATTTTGATGGAAGTAAATAAATCTTATCAAGATGAAGTATAAACTTTAAGGTGTAGTTGAAATAAGAGAACGTAGAAGAATTAATTGTACTGTTGCCAGTTGGAAAAGATTGCGTTGATAAATTTTGTAGGGTTGGAAGAATAAACTAACTTGTTTTTACTAAAAAAGTAATGAATGGAAAATTAAACTTCTCAATTTACTTAATCTATCATAAACACCTAAATATTCAACAGTTTAAGATATTTAAAATTTATTATGCAATATTGATCGGAGAAGAAAAAAAAAATGAAATTTAAGATTTTTTAATATCAAAAAAAAGGTATCCTTTCATTTCTTCCCACCTGTACTTATCAATCATTTAAGCGCACGCATATGTTAAAATTGAAATATATCGAATGATAAATAAATATTTGTACAAATAAAATTATCATTCATTGATAATAACAAATGTATTATAATGAATAATTGAAGTTCAACTTTATAATTAATAATAAAATTACTAAATAACAAAGAAAAAGGTTTAATTAAATGTCAGTAATTAATGAGAGGAAAAAGAAAAAAACAAAATCGATCGTAGATACTATCGATGAAAATTTAATCACAAATTAATTATTTGATAAGAAATTTTTTTTAAAGAAAAAAAGTGATCCTTCTGATTTAACTATAAATTTGTAATGATATATCATCTGTAAGTAATTTAAAATATTTTAGGAAAAAAGGAATAAAAGAAAAAGAAAATATTTGAGGTAATAAATTCATATTTTGCAGGCTGGATACTAATTCCTTGTTGAATAAAGCTTAACCTAAAATTTGATTCTCCTCCTCGCAGATCCTTTAAAAATCATTAACTAATTTTTCTCGTTGAATAAAGCTTAGTCTAAAATCTCATTCTTCTCCTATTAGATCCTTTAAAAATCATTAACTATTTTTTCTCGTTGAATAAAGCTTAGTCTAAAATCTCATTCTTCTCCTATTAGATCCTTTAAAAATCATTAACTAATTTTTCTCGTTGAATAAAGCTTAACCTAAAATCTCATTCTCATATCCTTTAATTAATGTTAAGATAGGAAATAAATTTTTAATGAAATTTTAGAATTTCCACAAATAGATGACACACTATAATGTTTACAATTCACACGCAATCAATCAATCAACTAAATTCTTTGAGATTTTTGTTTTCCTATTTATAGGGAAAATATTTTTGTACGGAAAAAAGTAGGCAGCCAGTAGTAGCTGGTTGCTAAGCTTTTGGAAATATTTCAAATGCATAAAATGCATTTGAAATATTTCCATCATTTTGTTGCATTCCAAAATCGAATTGTTTACTTTTTCGTTGGCATTTTTTCACATTAAAAAAAAAATGATTGACTAAATTTTGGAATGATAGAGAAATGAAAAGTTGAAATCATACTTATTAAGTAAATAAGGGAAAAAATTATTTGATATTTTTTCATTACAATTAATATTTATTACCTATTTCAGGTAGTTTGTATCTTTTCTATTATTATTATTATTATTATTATTATTATTATTATTATTATTATTATTATTATTATTATTTATAATTATTATTATCATATTATCTTTTTTGAATTTTTTTTACTATAATTTTAGTTAGAAGTAATGTTTTTTTGTGTTTTTTGATTTTGGTAATTCTTTTAAACTTAATACTAAACGTAGTAAGAGTCGTATAATTGAGTTATTTTCATAATTATTAATTACTAATTGTTTAATTTCCAATAGCTGGAATTGAATTTTGATTGATTCAATACTAGGGGGCCGTATATTTTATTAATCTAAAATAACTTTAAAAGTTATTAGTGACAATGAAGTTATGAATATGAAAAAAAATTTCCCATAATAATTGTGTGATGATGTTATTTGCTTAATGAGGCATTTTATTAACAAACAAAATTACATGCATCAATTAATTTGTTGACAGCGATGATTAGAAACATTTAATTATGCAAAAAAAAAAATGTAATGCAATAAATATTATATGAAAGTTTACAAAAACAATAATTAAAACTTAACAATAATAAAAGTAAACAAAGGAGGAAATATTTAATTAAATTTTAAAGATGTAATAATTGATAAGATAAGAGAGGAACATGCGAAAGTATTTTTATTGAAACTGCTTTTGTAGAATGATAAATGATAGTGTGATATAATCAATCAATCGCCAAGTTAATTCACTCTTCCGGTTCTATTATTTGATTATCTTGAAAAGAAGAAATAGCAACTACTACAATGAATTCCGGTTGGTTTGAAGTAATGTTTTAATAGCAATGTAAGCGTTAAACAATATTTCAAGCTAACCGAATTATTTGCTAATATAAATTTCAAACGACTAATTGGGTAAGTTTCAAATGACTAATTTTAGCATAATAATTATATGAGTAATATGCAAATTTTTTTGTAATACTTGAATAGAATGAATGAGATTACTTAGGCATTATTACTTTAAGATAAATAAGATAAGAAAAAAGAATTCGAATTAAGCCTATTAATGAAATTAAATATTTAACTTGAAAATTCCGCCTTAATTTAATTAATTTCTATTAATCAGTAGTCATTAAAGTTTGTTTATAATAGCTGAAATAAACTACAAAATAACATCTACAAAATAAAGCTAAACTTTGTTAATAGCTGTTAACCTTTCTAATCTTGAAGCTGTTGACCTTTCTAACCTTTCTTATGATAAAAAAACGAAACGATATGCTAATAGTAAACAGTGGTTTTTTGAATAGATAAGACAAAATATCAAATGATACATTGATTGATTTATTGATATAATAACATATAAAAAAACAAAACAAATAGTTAAGAAAAGGTGAGCTCGTAAAAAATACTACGTTTTTATGTGTGGTAAAAAAAAGGATCGGAATGGATCTGATAATTACCCATCGATTGATATTGAAAACACTTTTGTGATTTTCAAAAAACATTCTATTATTTGATTAAAAATTTAATTATTTTGTTAAAATAAATTTTGAATGAAAAATTTGTATCCAAAATGATTTACATTAAGTATCCTAAAATGAAAGACATTTGTTACACGTGATATGTGTAATAAGTGAAGTATTGTTTCTGTTGTATACGTATTATAAGAGGAAAATGAAAAATATCTATGGATATAATCGTATCTTGGTAGATTTTATTACTATAAACTTTTTCATAGTTAATACTTTTCTTATAGACCATTAAAATGCCAAGTCTAATTACAATTTTCGCAACCATTTTTTTAGTTGTTAGCGATTTTCGCAACCATTGTTTTTGCTCTAATTGTTTTTTCTTATTCCTCTTTTTAATTTCTTAATTTATAGAAAAAATTAAATTTGTTAAATGATAATTTCTTTTCAGAACAAAAATCTCAGAGATTTCTTATCCAATACTCTGTTAATTCTTATCTATTACTTATCTATTAATTAAGACATTTTTCAATATAACAAAAGTTTCTACGTCATCTAATCATAATAATTATATGGTTCGCTTCAAATTATGATGCAATCATATATTTTTAAAATTGTCCAAAATATGAAAACAAAATATGAATCCGAACCTAAAAATCAGATGATCCGTAATTGGATCAACCGGAAAATAAGTCTGAAATTAATTACATAATGAGACATTAGTATTTTCTGTCAATTGTTAATGCTATTAAAGTATTGAAATAATGTGAAATATTGGTAATTTTTGATATTTCAATGAATAAATTATGCAAAAAAATTTTGAAGAATAAAATTCAAAAATTCTCATAAATAACTATCATATTTTAATGATCAGCGCGATCTTATTGATTTGTTTATTTTTAACCTTATCAAATAAAAATTTGAATATACGTAAGTGAAACAACAAATATGATCATTTCACTTCTACGATACATACAGTATTCATTCATTGATATCACGCTATTTCAACAGTTGTTTTTTTTTTCATCGTAGTAGATATATTATGAATGTGAAATACGGAAATAAAAATGAATCCGAAAATATCATTT